TTTTGAAAACAAAAAAAAAAAAAAAAAAAAAAAAAAAAAGAAAGAAGTAGGAAGTAACTTAAGCGTAGTAACATTCTATGTATATCGCTTAATGGGGAAAAGTAAAATGTTCTTATTATGTGTTTTTTACATATATTTAAGTGGGATTTACTTTATCCTAATTTCAAAGGTGTACTAATAAAATATCGACATATAAGTCCCTATCCAGCAAAGTGCGTTCGAGCTCGCACTGTTCTATGACTAATGCCAGGATCAGTATCCATATTTTAGTGCTTAGCGGCTTGTGGAGGTACAGTTGTGGATGCAGTTGTTGGAACTCTGGTGCATCTCTCACTCTGAGCATGTGTTCTGCTGCCATTACATTTTCCAATCCAGGTACTTGGCCTTTGTCCGGTACTTGCTCTTCGATGTTTTCTAAAAAAATGGTTAAACCACTCCTTCTCACCATATGTATTCATAAGCTCATGTTGTTTTGCAACCCATTTTTTCCACAACCGCAGTTTCAGCATTTCTGTCGATGACATATTACCATGCTGACCGAATTCACTGTGCCAGTTTTCTTCGTCTGCCACCATGGCTCACGCAGGTATTGTGTCCAATCCGCTTTTAATTGCAGAAACCACGGCTGCGTCGTGCACGCCCGCAATAGGTGCTTGTTACGCTCAATCCAGTTAATCCAATTAGTGTGGTCGGGGGTCCGGTTTTCATTCCCGGGGTCGGAAGAGGGGAGAGGGGGCGAATGAGTCCTTTCTTGTTCTAACTGTATGGTTTCCATACAACTCCATGGATCGGGGTTATCTTCGTTAGGTGGAGAAGCGTCCGTTGCTAACTGTATGTTTTCCATACAACTCCATGGATCGGGGTCATGTGGTGGGCATGAATCTGTTGCGTCCGAGTCAGTGGGTGGATACCGCGTTGGTGGAGCGGCGTTTGTTGTTGAGTCCTGGGTTGCTAAACCGTCGTCTGGGGTACAGGCATGCGAGCTACGTGTACAGGTGTTGTTGCCCGCCATAAACTCCTCCACGACAATCTTCCAATAGTCGTCTTTGACGTTTTCCCACTCGGCCTCTTCACATTCGTTGAGCACTTCTAGATGTAGCTCGACAATCGTGCGCTTATGCACGCGTGGATGTCGTCGTCGTCGTCGTTCGGCAGCAGATGCGCCCCGCGTATCCCTAATCAAGGTGTACCCGTAATCGGGTGGCGGCGCGCCGCGTTGTAGATGCGCCAATATTTCTTCGTCGAGTGGCGGTGACGGCACGTCACGAACGGTGCGACACGTTCGTCGTCGTCTTTGTCCGAGGTACGCAAAATACTAAGCATAAAAAGGGGGTAAAGAGGAGGGTGAGGACGGTAGCATAAAAGGAATGAATACGGGTGTAGGAGTATATTGGTGCGAACGATCATATATTGGAGTCCGTAGGGAGTTTCTGAGGTATAAAAATGCTGCGCATGCAGCATGACTTGATTGTCGTGTATACTTACCTTCCATAGGAAGAACGCAATGATTCCAATACCAACCAGCGCGGGAATGATCGCGGCGGTGTACGGGATGAGATGCTTGGGGTCAAAGGGTTTCGATGGAGGGGTGGTAGGTGGTAGTTTAATAGGGGGTGCTGCTGCTGGACCAGATGTACCACCTGATGGACTAACTGTCCCACTGGATGGCTCCTGTGGTGTTGGACCAGAGGAACCTAGATTATGGGTTGCCGTGGAACCAGGACCGGAGGAAGCAGGGTTTTGGTCACCAGTGGAACCGGGACTAGATGAATCCTCTGTACTGCTGCCGCCGCCTCCGCCGCTACCGCTTGCACCCGATTGATTTGGGTTCGGGTTCGGTTTGGGTTTGGGGGGATTGAGAGGAGGGGGGTCATCGTTACCGCCATCGATGACGGCACGTCCACCACTGTTACCGGCTTCTCCGTTTTCTCCTGACGCACCGGATGAGGGACTCCTGGAAGCGGGTGCACCGTTCTCATGCGTAGAAGAAGGAGACGATGGAGTCGTCTGAACTGCGTCGTTCTGAGTGTTGTCAGCAGGGGAAGGAGCAGGCGGTGGGCCGCCTGCTGCCTCACTGGATGAGGATGTGGATGCTGGTACGGGTTCTGCGTCTGCTTTCGGTGCTGCCGCTGCTGGTGCCTTTTCTGGAACTGTTTCTTTTGAGTCCTTGCCTGTCTTCTTCTGCGAAGGATCACTACCTATAAGTTCAAGTAGGAGGACGAGAACGGAGAGTATGGAAGAAACTGAAGTTGTGTGCGGTGGAACGTTATGGTTGCTTGGTGGGCCAGGCGGTCCATCGCTGATGGTGTCGCCATGCTCGGTCGTGTATACGGTCGGCACCAGGGTCCATCGCTGGATGGTTGGCCACGGTGCGAACGGTGGTTGGCAGGTGCCACCCCGGGAAAAGACTCCCTCTCTCCAACTACACAACACACACAACACACAACACACAGTGTGTGAACACAGTGTGTGTGTGTCGACGTCTACAACCCGCGGCCGACCGGTCGGTCTGGCGCTCTGCCGCTCATTCTCATTCGACGTTTGGTTTCTCTTTCTCCGTGGTGTCTCTTCCGCTCTCTCCGGAAAAGTTTTTGTGTTTTTCGTGTTCAAAGTGTTGTTTCTATGTGTACCCTAGTGCACGGTACTCATCTTAGAGGATACAGTCCTCCTTACCTGAGCACTCAGATGAAGAAGAAGGTGCAAAGCTAATTTCTGTGTGGACAGAAACTTCTCCTTGGGTGCTCACATGTGACTTCTTAGTTGCACCACAGTCCGCCTTAGAAGTGTTACCTGCATCTTCCTTCTGAGAAGTGGTCGCGCCAGAGGGTCCTGTTGCTGTTCCCAAGCCCCCAGTGTCCGGTGCTGATGGTGGTGCCACATGTGGGGGTCCTGCCACGGGTTGTGTGTCGTCTGTATCTTCCTTCCTTGCTGCGTTTCGTCCTGTGTCTGTTCCCTGTGCTGGAGGTGCTCCTGTTCCTTCTGGTGATGTTTGTCCCCCCTTGCCTTGTGTTTTGTCTTCTGTTGTCCCATTCGTTGGTAATGTTGTTGCCGGTTTGGCGGGTGCTGGTTTGGCAGGGGCGGGTGCGGCTGCTCCACTGCCGGGTGGTTTCACGCCTTTCTCACCGGGTTGGTCCACGGAGGATGACCCTGCTTTCCCTACTCCTGGTGATGGCGGCGTTTCCTTTGGTGGTCTCGGTGGTCTGGGTGGTCTTGGTGCTGGTGCCGGTTGTGGTCGCGTCCCCGCTCCTGTTCCTGGACGCGATATGTTGCTTGATGGAGTCATCCCCCTTCCTCCCCTACCTCCTCCTTTGCCTCCTCCCCTGCCACGTCCTAATCCTGGTCCACCTCTTCCTGGCGCCCCTGTCACAGTGGTCGTTGTTGTCCTGTTCACTGTGTGCTCCATTTCTTTGACTTTCGTCTTTATTCTATTCTATATTTCACACTCCTCACCCAATCGTTGACCTGCCTTGATGTCCTCTAACAAAGCCTGCACTCGCGTATTGGGATCATCCTTCATCCAGTCCATTATTTTGTTAGTATACGCATCCGCCTGCAGCTGGTCCACCGTGACATCACAGTTCTCTTTAGACTTCTGTTCCTCCTCATCATCCTGATCTGTGTTGGCCCATGCACATTTGCCTGATCGTGCGCGTTTACTCTGTACTCTTCCTGACGCCCACTGTGCACTCAAGTCCTCTAAGCGTTTTTTCATGTCTTGGCCAACAGTCCCTGATAGAAATAGTATAGTCCCAAAGTTTCTGTCCTCGCACAAGCCTTTTTCAAACTTCTGCCTCGGAAAATCCTCCCCTTTTTCTAACTTTTCGGAAACTGTCGTTATAATATCCCTATGGTCATTATTACGTCAATATAGGCGCAATAACACCTCAGCCCCCACTATATACTCTAAATATTCGTTAAAGTTCCTCCTGCTGCTGTGCTGCGGGTACCTCTTTTTCCATTTGTGCTCTCCCTTGTTGTAATTATACCCTCTCATGTATACCAGAATCTTTGCAATCTCCCCACACCTATTAATGCATAATCCCTGACCGTCTTCATTATATATACTGCCACAGAAGCTAGAGATCGGAATGTTACTTTCACCAATTTTCTTGATTAACTGTCCAAAGATGCTATCAACCTCCCGGAGTAACTTTCTCTGCAGTTGGAACAATTGGCAAATGCATATATGGTGCTCACCTCCTTGTGCTCTTAAATTGTACTATATGCACTTATGCTTCCTCAAGGGCATACACACCCCGTTTGGATTCCATGTTTGCCTCTAAATACCTTATGCATTGTCCCCGATATTCACTTGAGGAGTGTATGTACGTATGTAGGTACCCATGTATATATACCTCCACCAATAGTGCACTATTCCTGCCGCGATGGAGTTACCGTAGTATTGAACTTACCCAATACTGCTGTCGGTTCCATGTTCGTCCCCGCCCTATAAAAACACTCCATGCATTTATAAAATCCCTTATCTCTTTCTGATACTTCTTGTCACCCATATTGAACACTTTTTATTACCTTCCTAGACAAAGTACGACTACTACTACTACTACACACCGCTCAACAACACCACAACAACAACAACAAAAATATACACAAACCCCGGTCTCCGTGAACGCCTCTCCCGTCACCCCGTCTCCGTCAATGCCTCTCCGGGTCACGCTTCCGGCACGCGGCCACGTTGCTCGGAGTGACAATCTCTCCTTCTTACGAGGACGCGGCAACGACGGCAGAACAAATTGATGTTGTTGTTCGTTTTTAGGTGTACGCACACAGAGAGACAGTGTGTGAAGGCGTTTAGTGAAGAAGGCAGGTGCGGCGGGGGTATTCATGGCGCGTTGTGTGTACGGTAGTAGTAGCAGTACTTTTTTTTTTTTCCTGTCTATGTTTCTTTTGTTTTTCTTGTCTTGTTGTTGGCAGTTTGACCATTATTCATGCAACATACAATTCTTCTACAGCGTTTTGTTCACGTATATGTTTTATTAATGTGGACACAGCCACTCCTGTGACGAGCCAAGGGCAGTTGTGCACACATGTACCAACCATGAAGCAGTTTAGTAAGTGTAACAACACATGAACACACAGTTACACTAATACAAGCAAAATGGCGCAGTATTTAGGGAAACTATTGGTGCATTATACTGAGAGAAGGGAACTAAGGGCCGATGTGACAGAGGGCGATACTGGGAAGGGCAGTTTCAGCGTAAGTTAATTACACTAAGGGGAGCATGGGCGCAAACTGTAGATTTACTTACATTTACAGTAGCGGAATATAGGCGTTGAAGTGATCATGCAACAAGCACAATTATGTATACACCTACGTATTTTTTACGTGTTTGTTGTAGGACATATTCTGGCGCGACGTGAAAACAGTATATAACCAGTTATTGCATGCACTGGAGGAACACAGGGATGATATACAGACCTTGTGCGCATCTATCGAGACGCATGGGGCCACGGTACAACTAGGCGCGCCGGATGCATCCTTATGCAAGGACATCATGAAAGTTTATTATTTTATGGATGGTATTGGAAACGCGCGCACAGGGCACTCGGCTGCAACTCAGCCTGAGGACCAGATACACCCATTCATGAGGTGTATGGTAGGACACGTAATTTTAGCGAAACAATTTGCACGGCAGTGTGACTTCAACACCTTAGTGCCTTATGCACGCGAGGCCACAGACGGTATGAGGACACTGGCCAAAGTGGACACTAGTAATACTGCATGCAACGGATTGGATTTCGATACACTACAAATAGGGCACAAATTGGTAGGAAAGACAATTCAGGCATGGATCGAGGAGAAGAGGAGTGACTGGAAGGCTATAATGGAAGATTATATGGACCACACTTGCGACGCCCACACCAGAATTGAGGCAGGCGGGCATAGCGGGCAAGATACACACGAAGAGACAGAGCCACAGGGTGCACAAGGGAACATTAGTCCGAACGATTTAAAAAAGTTGGCCGCGAGTACAGATGAATTATCGAAGGACGAAGCGACTGAAGTGTTAATACAGATAAAGGATGAGAAGGATGCAAACAACATATTGAGGAAGCTCCAGGAAGGCCTTCAGGGTTTAGGGTTTAGGGTTCAGGGTTCAGG